ATATATATATATATATATATATATATATATATAGAGTTAGAAATAATCGTTATTCATGATTATTTTAAGCTGCAAAACATTTTTTTTAGAATTAAATGATACGCAATAATTGCACATTTAGTCAGAATTCTAATATATTTAATATTACTCAAATACCCATATATTCAATAACATGTATAGTCTGTTATAGTCTAAAATTCAACGAAACCATAAACAAATTCGAGTTAAGAAACTATATATGTTTGAATATTTTAAATGCATTAAATATTTTTCAATAAAAGCATTTTAAATAAATTTTATATATATATACAGGGTATTAAAAATACCAGATATTATAAGAAGATAACCTAAGGAGCGAAAAGAATTGCATTGATGTATTAGACCTGATACAGAATGAAAATACCATAAATTATCCGATAACAAAACTGTTTCATTATTAATATAACATTTTTTTAACAGTTATGTTTCTAAGATAATGTATAAGGCACTGAAATGGATTTAAAAATAAATTAAATGTTTAAACTTTAAAATTAAAAAGAGATATTAAACACAAAATACAAGAAATTTCGATTAACTAAAAATTGATGTACAATATGTGTGTATTCAGAAAAGTCACTTCCAACATATTGAGGTTTTTATGACTGGATGTTTTTTAGATTGGGTTCTTTTAGCACTTGAAAAATTAAAAATAGTGAGTTAAGTAATAGATTCCATTGAAATTTGTTTAAACTAATTGCTGACCGAATAATACTGACATAAGAAGAGGCTTCATATTAAACCTATAACTAATTTTTGCTTATGAAAGAGTTTACTGACCATTAAGTGTATCAGCAGAGATGGTAGATGCTAATTTTTTTCCGTTAAATTTCATTTTATTTCTTGTACAATGATACCGTCAATTTCTCTATTAAAAAGGGTCTTATAATAAATGTTTTTATAAATATAGTTCAAGTCTTTACGATACTGTCTATATCTCGATGTTGTCGAATATTTCTGTAGTGAATGCTAAAATATAATATCTAATAAACTCTATAATTGCTAACATATACTAACCAGGTGATGTGTTGTGTATCAATTACCCAGTTTCCTCAATTTTATATTAACGTCTATAACTACTTGGTAATAAAATCAATTTGATAAGTTTTGCAATATCACATGTAAACAAATTAAGAGATTTGTATCTAAGCAAGCCTTAAGAGCACTATATTTACATGTAGCCTACGTAATTCCTGAAGACATTCTTCTTTGCAGAACCCCTTCATAATTATACACTTATTTAACTTAATCAATCTGAAAGCAGAGAAGTAAGAAAGACAGCATTTATAAATATACCTATATTAACAAAAAAAAATTAGGTGATGATATTATATTTTATAATTATTATGATTCTTAGCTTTGATAAACTATGATTCATCTTTTTTTGAACTTCATTCATTTGGTACTTGTACAATCAACATAAAAACATAAAAAATTATTTTGATCAAATTTTGCAAACATTTGTTAAATTTAAATGCTTTATAAATAAACATATTAAATTATTTATTTATTAAATTAGGCGTTTTAATGAACTTTAGAATTTTGTGTTTCTTCCAATAGAAATTTCGGAGCGATATCCATATAAACATCGATTCATGTTGTGTTTTTATGATATCATCCAGATCATTATTTATTTGGCTGAAATTACAATAAATGTCTTCCAAGTGGGTTTCGTAGGAATCCATTTTTGTGTAAACATTTTTGGTAAATATAGAGTCATAATAGCAACAAAAACCGCACCGGCGTATACACATATGCTTATACTCTCATATAATATTTAGTTTTTCCATATAAACTCGTATTTACCTTGATCAGCTTAGTATGCATTTGGTGGGGAATGCTATTTTATGGTTTTATAGACATAGTCATAATGATATTAAATATATTTCGTAGAAACTAAATAAATTTTTTATAATAAACAATTTTCTTAGGATGAAAAATCAAAATATATAGCAATCGTGTAGTATTTTTTAGTTTCGAATTACTACATGTCAACTTTCATTTCTTAAATTTTTATACAATAAATAATAATTAATTTTAAATTAATTTACACAAAAATTAATTTTAACTTATTTTTCGCAGTGTGTATCATAACTATAATTATATTAACAGATTTTTACTGCATTTATTTGCTAATTTTCACATTATAATAGCAGTTGTTTTTATTATAAACAGAAAAGGATAGTACATATGTACATATATCCAAAGTATATTACATATAAACTTACGTTCCAAAGTGATTATATTCCATGGGGTTATTTCTTAATCCAAAAAAAATACATTACACACTTAGACGTAAGGAAACGGTATCTGATATGCCGTCATATAAATTATAAGGGCTCAAAAACGGTTCATTCAAATAGCATAATTAGTACATCAGTTTTTAGTCTATTAAATATTGCTTAATTTGCAAACAAAAGTTATTCAGGTTCTATTCACCCCCACATGGGAAAAATGTTTATGCCCAACCCAATTCGTGGGTTATTAATGGGTTTCTTTTCCGGTATGTGAAAAATATCAGAAGCCACCGTGTGAGACTTTAACCCACTACAACCATCTCTTAAGATTGGGTAATAAATTCCAGGAGTCAAGGACATATATAAAAATAAATCGGTTTAATATTTGAAATTTGAATTTATCTAAGTTAATGGGTGAGAAACGGTAATATAGCAAGGTTAAACTGGTGCAGGATGGTAACTGTAAGTATCACAGGAAAGCTGTTGTGATACTTGTGACTAGGTTCACCAAAAACTGTGGTTGTAGAGCAGGGTGATAGAGGGATCGGATTGCAACTAATACAAGTAGAGTTAGACAAACCACTCTCATAATTATGCGTCAGTGTTAGAAGGAAAGTCATGTCGAATTAGAGCCGTTCGAGTGAAATTAATTGATCATAAATGTGAGTAATTTTAGGCTTGGCATAAAGCAGGGAACTGGAGACGTGTTTACTGTTAGGCTTGCGCTTATCATTAAGATAGTCCGAAGGACTTTGCGTTAAAAAAAGAAGGAATCGCAGTAGAACTAATTACTGATCATATAATATTGACATAAGAGGCTGTGTAGGTTGCTTATAGCAAAGAAGTTTCACTTTAAGAATTTAACTTAAAATTTAAAATTGTGCTTGTGAGAGCTTATTGGTACTAGTAAGGGTACTAGCAGAAATCCTAGACTTAAAATTTTTATATGGAATAAAACCTGGATAGGAGATCCAAGATGTGAATTAAGCTAAGCCTAACCTTAAGCATATTCAGTTATGGTTGGTAGATCTCCTAAAAATAAGACAGTTATGAACAACTTGAACAAAAGTGAGAGTAGAACGTAGCTTTCAGAAATCAGCAATGACAGGAGAGCCGTGAGAGGAGTCTGACCCGATTTGGAACTCAAAGAAACCATAAGAGTGAAATCGAAACACAACACTACAAAGAGTTAAGCCGAAACCGAATCGGTAATGCTAATAAACCACCCTTTCAAACTGAATGATGTTGAATACTTTCTCTATATAGATACTCACTGTATAATAGGCGATTTTTCATGAAAGTTAACGCAAGCCCCATTTTGAAGTTTGTGCAGTGCATTCATAGTTTCAAATAGGATAGTCTTATTAATGATAACATTCCAATTATCTTAATTTTTAGACAAATATGGTTCAAACAATATATTTTCTGGAATGGTCTGGTAGCTGATTTATCTGCTTTATTTTTTCTTCACTCTAAATATGTTTATTTGTTTTAATAATAGTAATAAAACTGCTGTAATGAAAGTGAGCATCATAGTCTCAGCATCGTAGTACTCTTTAAATAATAGGGTTTGTACCAGTTCTAATCCGATTTGTATCGGATTCTCTAACTTTTTGGATCGAGGGAACCAATTGAACCGAATGAATAAGTGAAAACTTTTGTAAATAATTCTTTAATTATTAAAAACATAATAATTTAAATATAAGAATTAATTTAATCATTTTTTTTTTATTTTATGGCCCCATAATAGTAGAAAATATAAGGGAATATAGTTATGAATATTGTTCCATTTTTTCTTGAAACGATTAAGTTTTTGAACTGAATAGAATAGAAACTGAATAAAAGGTACTTTCAATCTAAGCAAAACTTATCTGCGTTTCTAATTTTTTACATCGACAATTTTTAATAGAACTTAGTTCAGTAGGTATTGTATTACTTATATACCTACTTTTTGGATGCAATTGCGGAAGAAACATATACAAACAATTAAGATACTGGAATGAATATATCATATATATATATATATATGTGTGTATATGTACTGAACTTATTCAAGGTTACAAACGATGCTGTGGAAATGCATACATAATACATAATTTAAATTTTAAATTTGTGCATTAAAAATAAAATGCCTTTATTATAAATGTAGTTTTTGCAAATGCGGTAATAAACTATTTATTCTATTATTACAAAATTTTAAGCTCTCGCAGATTTTATTTGTAGACATATAATTAGTGTGAAACTTATTTGAATTTTAATTTTTATTTTCAGTTAATCTAACTTTTAAATAAAATTTTAAAAATATTATTTTTTTATAATAAATTGAATTTAAGAAGTTTTAATATGACTCAAATCTTCTCTTTCTTGTAGAAGGATTGCCTTTCGTGCCACACATTTGCTACGTGGGAGAAAAAGTTTATACTGCTTCACTTGGTTCCTGTTTTTTATACGAGGATGTTAAGGACTGCTGTTGTGCTCCAGCCCTTGCAAAGCAATGTAAGATTAGATCGCACTTCGTAATGACATTTATATATTATTATTTATTTTAAAATATAATATTTTCCTGGTTAAATTTTATTGATGAAGATTTTTAAAGA